AAAAAAAGGAAAGAATAGAAAGTAATTCTTAAAACAACGGAACTTTATCGATCGAAAAGACTTTAGTTACGTAGTAATTCGATGTTCCATATTAAAATTCGTTCTTTTCTCGTCTGACGAGGAAGCCACGAAGACGATGGCAACGTCGTTCGAGTTGAGCGACGCCGACGGGCCAAGAGACACGAGCCCTCTTTCCCTCCATCCTTCTACTCTTTGGAAGTTCGCCAAAGTCACGATGCGCTGGCTCTCAACTTCGACTTCCTCTACATGGCAGACACGTTTCGGTATAGTAGCCGAGAGTACCACCGAGAAGAAACGAGGATGAATATGGGATGAATGATAGGATCGTCTTTGCGAACCTTTCTTTAGAAAAGGAGATCGGTTTCATGAGAAGGAGAAAGAGGAAACGGAGTATGTGACTCTTATAAGGATTCCACGGATGACAGATATTCCGATATACTTCTTTAAATCCTCTAAGCCAATTATAAGTAATTTTTTTTACTTTTTTTTTGTTTTTTTTTTTAATAGAAAATATTAAAAGAATAAAAGATAAAAAGATCTATTTAAGTAAATATATGATTGGAAATAATATAATATAGGATATAATGTAATATAATATATTATACGGAGATATAATAAGAAGATAAAAGAGACAATTTGATTTCAACATTTTAATGAACGATTTATTAAATTTTGTTTGTTCTGTCTTGTTTTTAGAAAGGATTAATCTGAAGAATCTAGAAAAAATATTGATTTTCAATACTTTTATCGATATTCTGATACGAACACACTAGTCTCTGCCTAACAGTTATCACCCTTGATCTATTAATCCCACAGCCGAAACAAATCACGAACTTATCTATTCGTAGGCACGGTCGCGGAACGTCACATATCGCTAAAACGTACCTCGCGTAGATCTTTACAGGCATACAATATAAATCTCGTGCATGCTGTGCGAATAATGTGAGGGAGAACGCAGAGACCGTTCCGCACGCAGAGAAGTTGCTCAGAAAATTGGAGTCTACCAGTACTCTGGGAGAAGTTGAAATTGCGAAGAAAAGATGTTGCAATGGTAGTAGTATCGTTTATTAAACTTTAAAACGATGATCCATTTTAATAAGAGCGACAACCATCAGTTTTATATACAATTTAAAGAAATTTTAATATAATAAAAAATAATTAAAAAATTAATCTTCAAACATTCTATCGAAATATTATTAGATATAATATAAACCTGTGACGAATTTATTTCAAAATCTTTTGAAAATTTCATTGATAAATATAAAATCTATATGCATTGTTCAATTTTTTGCAGACTCACGATATATGACGAATCTGAGAGAATGAAAGGTGAATGCTATACATACATTGATACTAACCCCTGCTGACAGGGTAGACAGTTTTTTTATTGTCAGATGTTGAAAAGCTTAGCGTGTAAATCAACAATAACCGACCAGGCTCGTTTTGTATGAATCTCGATTTATCGTGCATCCATGTTTCTTCCTCGTGTTACGTCATTTTGATCGAGGTATTCATGCTTAAAATATTCGCTAGCACAATAATGCTTTCCAGAGAACAAAACTCCTGTACCCCCATGGGCCACATCGTACATCCTATCTACCTTTCATTCCTTTTATATCCGATGCTCGAAAATATTCGTTGTGATTTCGTTGTTGTTTTTCTTTTTTTTCTCTTTAATAATGTCGATTCGCTCTTTCAAACGAACTCTCGTTTTCCAAGGATTATATAAAATTTGTTGGATAACAGCAGACTCGAAAAAAAAGTTGTCGAAAGTTGATGATTCTCTGTGAAGCTTAACAGAGTTCGCAATTTTTGCTTGTTAGGAAGAAAATCTTACGACGATGGCAATAAATGTAACGATCACGGCCGAAGTGAGAGAACGATACTTGGAAAGGATTCTTACGGGTTTTTTGCAAGAATCAAACTTTACCTATATAGGTACCTAAGTACTTACATGTATATAAAGCTTGATAAATGATTTTCTCTTAAACGTGTTAAAGTATAGACACTTAATAAATGTAAAAGTAATCGTTCAATTTTTTTTCTCCATTCGTAAATAATATTTAAAATAGTTCATAAAATCATGGTTAAACTCTTTCTTCTCTTTCGAATGTGTTTTAGTAAAGTGCAATGTCATAGAAGCGTATTTTATTGAATATAAAACAAATATAGTAGCATTTACGAGACGATAACGTAGTATACAAAATTACATAAATTTCGTCGATCAAAAAGGAGACGTAAAGGATGTAGATATATTATATATATATATAGAAAAGAGAGGCGATCTTGGTAAATCGCAAGAAGAAGGATCGTTGCGTCAGCATCGTTCACAAGACTATTATACGATCGTAGGACAATCTTCGTGTTCGCGGAGACGTATCGACAAGAGATAGATAGAAAGAGAAAGAGAAAGAGAAAGAGAGAGAGAGAGAGAAAGAGAGAGAAAGAGAGAGAATAAGCCATTTCAGCGCTTTTACGTAGTATCGCGTAATGCGCAAAACCTCGGCACTCAGAGGTGGTCCGCCATTTTCGTGGCGGAAAAGCCGCGACCCATAAATCCGTCGTCCTGCACCGGTGAGCTCTACCTGCGGGGGGTTTATAGCTAATAAACGCAAATACCTGCCACAGAGCCGTTCATTCTACTTATGCGGAATACATAAAATATTGAATACACATTAACTATCAAAAGCGATACGCGTACAGAACGACATAGACGAAGTAGGAAGAGTAGCAACGCGGTAGAATGATTTTAATACCCTACATTCGATCTTCTAGTATCTATCTTTCCGCCATTATCAATATATATTTCAATGTGAGGAAATTACGAGACGGAATACACGATCCCAAGCCTCGGGGATTTAACGACGTATCGCCATCTCTTGTTATTTCATTTCTCTTTTGTTTTGCTGGTATGAAAAATCAATGATCTCTTTACCCCCTCTCTCTCTCTCTCTCTCTCTCTCTCTCTCTCACTTTCTCTGTTTTTTCTGTATTTTTATCTCTTTCCTCCGGTTTTATAAAGACCCAATCTTCTTTTATCACGAGACATTAATATTAGTTCCAATCGAATTTGTAAGAAACGAATAGAATCGCGTATCATGCGTTAAGATCAACATCGAACAATCTTTATCGATCTTTCCATCGTTGTTCGTATTTATTAAAATATGATAACACTCATTATGTCATATTTCTATTGAATATAATACAAAATTAAAACAGATTTTGAATTCACTTTTACTTTCTTTTATTTTGTTATATGATGAGGTTTCATGATATCAAAAGAAAAAAAATTTGTAGTTTTGTATACAACAAAACCCATTCAAATAACACAAGAAGTGTTGCGTGTCTGCGTGCTATCTCTTGATTTTTTTCTCCTTTACGTTTTACCTCGATCTTTGTTTTCGAAAGCTTTTCTTTGCAACTATTAAGGGCCATCACGGTGCCGACAATAATACGCTACAGTATCTTGCAATAATGGCGTGCTAAGGGTCGTAACTCCGGAGTCGCCGTCTACTGATGGAACAAAGACTCGTCCGAGAAAAAGTGTATCGTTAAAGAAATTAAGTAATTAACGGCACGAGTAAGAAGCGAGAACGTATACTTTTCTACTCGTGCGTATATAAAGTGAAAAGTGGTAGAAAGATAGATTGGAAATGATGAGAAAAGAAAAAAAATTAAAAAAATAAAAAAAAAGAAATAAGAAGAAGTAGAGAACTCCTATTTATTTTTTGTCCGCTTATACGACAGAACTGTCGAGAACAAACAAAGCGGAATTTAATTTACGACCTTTGAAACAGCCCATCCAATTTATATAGAACATAACAAATATGCTCTTATTGAGCCGAAACAATTTCATTTGATAGTCGAATCGAAAGATAAGTTTTATTAAAAGATTGAATGAATTAGATTAAGTAGACCACAATTATTTAGATATTTTTTTTTTTTTTTTTTTTTTTTTTTAGAGTTGAAAATGACGAAATAGTAATATTTGTATTAAATCATAATCGTGGTAACAAATCAATCAATCGAAAAGGATTGATTAAACAAATATCTCGTTAAATCGTACCACAGTTTTGGAGATAAGTAAAGTAAAGTACATACATCTATGTATATAACATAAAAGAATAAGGAGGAAAGAGACGAAATGCACGAAGGGAGGAAAATACGTGCGACGTGCGCACGAAACTTCGAAACGATGTACGTACAAGTGTGTTACGTCTCACGAGAGTGTGGCACGTGGAAAGGGAGCGTATGTCGTGGCACATGAAACCCACCGGTATGGAAGGAAAAATAATATATAACGAGCTCGGAGTAAGAAGTGAAAGAAAGAACGAGTGAACGAACTAAAGAGAAAAAGAGAGAGGGGAGAGAGAGAGAGAGAGAGAGACAAGAAAATAAAAGAAGTAGAGAAAAATACGAGGGACCAAATCGTGAGAGAGAAATCAAGGAGAAAAGTAAACCGAAAACTAAATCGTCGGAGAAATTGAGCAGAAAAACAGAGGAATCACGATTTTTCGATGTTTTTGCAATTTTGTCTCGCAAACCATCTCTTTTCTCTCTGTCTCTTTCCCTTATATCTTATTTCTTTTTTTTTTTTTAGCTTTCTTTCTCTATCCTATGTTCGTGTTTTTCGAAAACATCGTCCTTATTTTTCTATCTTTATTTTTTTCCCCCTTTAAATAAATATTTCTTAGATTTATCATATTTGAAAGATTAATATATGTCATGTAAGAAATCGTCGTATCGTATTTATAATTTCTAGATGGTATCAATTTTCGTGATGATACACTTGACACATTATTATCACGTTGTTAAGATTCGCAAAACTACTAATGAATCTCGATAATATACTTTGCAAATAAATGTTTATTAAACTTGATATTACGTTTTTTAATATTAACGAACGTGTCTCAAATTAATACTGGAAATCAATTCGGATTTTCGTTTGATGATAAAAATCAGAATGATCTTTCTCTTACCTCTCGGATGATTTTGCAGCCTCTGACAACACCGATTTGTGAGAACAACGCGCACAATAAATCCTCAGAAACACTGTGATCCAGATTGCCGACGTACCTGGGTCAACGAGACAAAAAGAAAAAGCGAAATATGTGTACGAATCATTAATGATTTTTATTGTTTTGTTTTTTGCTATTTTTGTATATAAAAGCAAATAATTCAAAAAAAAAAAAGAAAAAAAAAAGTGGTATGTAGAAAAGGACGGAAAAGGATGAGCCAAAAACATAGAATTATCTTGAAATTCGAATTAGATCGCCAATTCTTGATAAGATAAGAGTGATGGAACGAAAAAAATTGGCGATGGCTATTTTGTTGGTTTATCTCATAAAATAGCGAAATATAATGAAAATCTTCATTTTAAAGATTCTTGTTTCTCTCTACGTGATTATAATCTTTTAAAAAAAAATTAAAATCAAAATTTATTCCGATCCATATTAAAACGTGAGTGTCGAAATATAGATCGTGAGTTGTGATAGATAGATGTAGACAGATAGTAACATATTGCTACGTGCCAAAAAGCCACATATGTGACTGGCGAATTAGAGCGGAAATAGGCAAAGCTTCAAATTTCTGAAAAGCTGTACAAATACCTATATCGGTATAGCGCTTCGTGTAATAAATTTTCAAAGTTGGTGCTGATTTTCGATTTTGGTAATGGAAACAGGAGTTACGAACAGTGAAAAGTGGTGAAAAGAGGAGAGAAGGGAGTAGGGAAAACAATAACATAATGCGTATGCCATGGTTACAACGGAACCAACGTACAAGAATAGAATAATAGTAAATGTCAACAAACCTAAACGTAAATTTCCTCAATGTTTGTAACTTTTTATACATTAAATAATAATAATGAATAATAATTCATTTTTTTATGATAAAAAGGTAATAGAGATTATCGAAACGTTTCTTCCATTAAGCATTATCAAAAATGATGATTCTCGAATTTGAAAGAAAAAGAGAGAGAGAGAGAGAGAGAAAGAGAATTATATTTTATATTCGCTTTTTTTCTTTTTTCCTCTTTAAAATCGATCAACCTAGAAACTATAAGCGTATAGAGGATTTACATATTTATATATATATATATATGTATATGCATGTACCGATCCGATCTTTTCAAGATCGGATAAAGACCAATGAGACTACTCACAGAGTCTTCGGTGGAATTTCATCCGTCATGATGAGCCCGTAACGAGTAGTCAAACCGTCGCAAAGTACTGGCAACCATGGCAGCTCTCTCGAAGCTCTCTGCCAGTCGCACATAAAGTAATTTTATTTAAATACACCTTTATGCACTCTGCCTAGAGCCGTAGAGGACTTTAAGTGCATAATAGTTTTCGATAGTGAGTGAGAGAGAAAGAGAGAGAGAGAGAGAGAGAGAGAGAGAGATGGATGTAAAAGAGAAGAGGTGAAAGAGGGGGAAAGCTTATAAGCTCTTCTTGGCGCTTGCGTAGCTCACAGTGAAGTTAGACGAGACTTGGCGAACGTTTTAACGTTTTAACTTTTTCCAAGATTCGATTTCTAATCTGTGTAATCGATCGTTCATTATGATCAATGAAATTATGATCAATGAAAAAACGTCCAAACGAATTTTTCTCAAATTTCGGATTCGAGATTAAAATTAATTGAAGCTCCGTCTATGAAAATGATCGGACAACAATATTAATGTCAAGGACGTATAGAATAGTAACCAACCTGACAGTTGTATATATATGTGACCGGATGATATATTTCAAATTTATACGAATAACTTATTGGAAAAAGATTGAGAAACTTTTGAAAGATTTCGTCGGATTTTATTGACTAAATGTCAAATTGTAAGACGATAAAAATATGTTGATATCGTTAAGTTAAGTCGTGAGTCTTATGAAAAGAAAGAAAGGTCTGAGGAAGAAGAAGAAAAGTATAGTTTGCAGATTACACATCGTCAGGCAGCCGCTATAAATAATTCGCGAGTAGGTATCGTAAATGTCAGAGAGTTTTTCCAAGGTGTAAATCACTCTTACCCAGACTCGTTGTAAAATCTCACCCTCTTCTATCCTCTTTCGTTTTTCTTTTTTTTTTTTCTTTTTCGTCCTTCTTTTCTCACCCATTGCTATCCCTATAGTATAAATGTCTGTCTCGCGATACTCCCTGAGTATTCTCACACGGTGAAAAGGAAAACGTGGCCGTGCATCATATGCAAAGCATAGTATGTACATCGTCAAGCCGTTTTACACTACGAAACACTGTTGACACAGGTGGATGTGTATGAAAATGGTATTCATAATTCATCGCGCTACGGTATCACTTTCATTGAGGATATTTTAAGCTCAATATGCATTTGGACATTGAATTTTAATTTCATCGTTTCAATAATTCTATGAAGTTAAACGAATATATTTTTTTTATTTCATTTAATTACAACATAAAAATACAATTGTCGATTCATCGAAACGATTATAATCGGCAATTGTAAAATTATCAAAGAAGGAAAATATAAAAAAAGCAAAAAAAAGGAAAAAAAAAAGAAAAAGAAAAAACACTTAAAGAGTCGAGAGTGAAAAATACTGATAATTCATGACAATAGATGTGTCTGTATTTGTGTGTATGGTACAAACCGTACCAATGCGAGCAACGTCAAGTTGCATGTGCGAAAATATTGCCTTTCAGTGCCTCGTAGAAGTAACAGGAGCCATGAGGTATCGCGAAAAACTTCGTTTTGCGAGAAACGATAAATCATTTGGAAATTCGCCGACAGGCATGTAGTTTTACGAGAATCTGCACGCAAAATGCAAAACAGTCCTACTCTGTAGGCTTGTACTGCAATTAATTAGCGTTACGTGATAGCTGTTGATGTGTCGAAACTTCTGTTTTTTCTTTTCTTTTTTTTTTTATATGGTGTAACTGAAACGAGTAGCTACAATAATGCACTTGTAATGATTCGATCGAAAATGGGATTATGCGATAAAAGATGTACGATCTTGATCTATCTATCGACTTTGATATAAGGAGAGCACATGGCGAAGGATAATTATATAAAAGAATACAGTAATTTATTAAAAGACTTAATTGCGAACACGAGATAAGTCCAATGAAAATTGAACCAGTCGCAGAGCGCAAGTTTGAAATTTTGTAAAAGTTTATCTTAGCTATTAACTACATGTACATTTATGAATCTTATTTATATATAAAACAACATTTTATCTTTTATCCCGTTATGATTTTTTTTTTTTCGTTGGAAATCTTTTTTTTTAGATATTCTCTCAAACATACACACAGACGGTCATACGAATGTATATACACGTATATTCTTTCTCTCTATAATCATAAATTCAACGTCTATGTGTTAAAAATTTCTCGATATAAAAGCTTAATTTTAATAGTTGAAATATCTTATGTACAACCCGTACGTATCATAAAATTATATTATCTAATTTGATTCTAAAAATATAACATTAGTGTAACGATGTTTAGGACACGATTAGATTGATTATCGGCACGACATTTCATTGATGATCTCTTTCGATATTTCAATGTTGAACTCTTTATCAATGATGGATACAATGTCAACATCGATTCCACATATAGCAATTCCCAAATTTATCTAACATCATTTAAAGACCTTACTGTTAGGATTCTCAATAAAGTATCTCGAAGTATGATAATTTGGTGTTAATCACGATTTTCTCACGAAACCAGTTGTAGGTGGTGGTCCAATGGATTTATTGGAAATAGGTGCTGTAGGATCTATGCCTATTACAGGTACCGTTGAATCGTTTTTAACAGAGCCAGAAGTTGACGATGACAAAGATGGTGGTGGTCGTTCAATAGATAAAGTTTGTTGAGGAAGTTGAGCATCAGTTTGTATACCCATCGATCCATAAATTTCTTTTAATATCATTAACATAGTATCTTCGGATTCCCTAAAATGAAAAGAATAATGATTATAAAAAATATTCTTGAGATGGTATTAAAAAAAGAACTCGACGTATTTCTGTACTAACCAATAACAAACGTGACTCGTTAAAGCAAAAATATACTCATTGATATATTCGAATGGTGCTTCTTGGAGAACGTAATCTATACGTCGACCACCATTCAAATTTCCTATTTTTATATCATCGCCACCATCATCACCATTATTCTGTTGTTCTGGCATACTCGGTGACTGCTGTAATTGTTCCTCGACGACTTTATCGATCTCTCGCTCGAGAGTATTATTATCTGGTTTATGAAAGTGTGCGAGTTGATAAACGGAATTCCACGTATTCCTAACGGAATCGATTAATTTCTGTTTCAGATCAGCTCCCACTCGTGCCATCGTCTCTTTCAATTCTAAAATGAATCAGCTTACTGTTAATAAGATTTAATTCACAGTATATATCATGGCACTATAATTTTTACTTGGAGAAATTTAATTGTCACCTACCCAAATGCATTCTCTTCCTGCCTTTATGATGTGGTATTAACATGGGCCGATATTTATGAGCTTCTGGATTAATGAGAGACTCCACTCTATAAGCAACCGGGTCAAATGGATGGAATATATTGAAGAAAGCTGGACAAGTGGGTAAGACGAAGTTTTCCCCAAGCGTATCGATGCCTCGAACCGTTACGAACATACCAATTGGACTACCGAAAGCAAAGAAAGCACGTGGATGAAAGTTTAATTGAGGATAATGTATATAAGGTTGTCCAGTTCCAGCAGCACCCATTACATAACTAATTTTTTTACTGAGACGCCTTTTTAAAATCGGTGCTGGCAATGGTTGTATAGGACCAATATTTTCATTTTCCTACAAAAAGAAAAAAAGAAAAAATAAGTAAATAAATGACGATAAAAAGCTTTTTATAAATCATTAATTCAATATCATCGATAAAATTTACCACTCCTGTCTCACTGTTAACTTCGGCATCTTTTTCCCCTTCAACCTCCTCTGCCGCCAGAGGTTTCTGATGACACAATAAATCAAACATTATCAAACTACCCAAAGAATGACCACCCAAATAAACTTCCCCTTTGAAGTCTTGATTTCGTTCCTTGAATAATATATACAATCTATTCAACTCGTTTCCAACCGTTTGCATAATCGTTTGACAATATATCGGACTAGTGTAGAAAAGTATATCGAGCAAAGTATCATTTGTAAAATGTCGTAACTTTGGTATACTTTCCAAAGTAATAGCCTTTAACTTTTTATCAATCCCAGTATCAGAATGTAAAGTTGTATGCCATGAAATTGGTAAAACTTCTACTCTATTTACGACTCCTTGTTCGCTGGCAGTGCGGTAATGTGATTGCACTAATTGCAATGATATACTGCGGAACTCGTCAACTAAAATACAAAATAAAATCAATGTAGAATGTATACTATTCGATTCTAACAGATTTACTAGTTCTTTAATACCAACCAACTTCTTCGACGGTTCTAAATTTTAAATCACAGACACTTCCTATACCATGAACCAAGAAAAGAAGATGATCGACTTTTTCTGGTTCACCTTCGTCTATAGTAAATTCATCGACACCTCTTTTAATTACTCGTGGTCTAGCACCTCCACCCTGCAAATATCCGTCCTCTGAGTCCTGCAGAAATTACGATTAAATACTTCAAACAAAACCATGCGTGCGTTATTCTCCAATACAAGAATAATAAAAATAAGACTTTGTGTGCATAATAAATAACACAAGAGAAAAGAAATAAAAATATAATGATATTGCAGAAGCTTATAAAGTAAAGCAATGTTTTTTTTTTTTTAATAATAACGAATGTTTGTGTGTAAGCTAAATAGCGACACGTACACGCACATATAGTAATGTGTAATGTATAACGTACTAAATGTTTTTTGTTCTTGTCGCAATTGTAGTGTATATAAAAGAAAAAAAAAAAAAGAAAAAAAAAATTAAGAAATACATACAGTGGTAGTAGACCAAGAGGCACTAGCATCTGGAGAATTTGGTTGTAAGTAATGCATTTGTACGTTTGCACTATGAAAAATAATATATTCCCCATTATTTAGATCGATCCGTCGATTCCAAGAAAGCGTGATACAAGTATGTTTATATTCTTCTTCAAGCTTCGCGGCTATACTCTCCTCGTAAGGGATATATCTCGATTCTGACGGTCCTTTGTAAAACCAAGAACATCTTCTCACTTCGCTCGAAGGTCCCGTCCAGTAAACAGGAGACCTTTGACGTCTGAGAATATCTACGTCATAACGACCACCATCGGTAGCTACTGTAGTCTCAGTAGTGATCTCACTAGAATTGTGTACATCTTCCAGTCGCAAACTATCCTGCATAGAAAACGGAAGCCATAGTACTTTATTTTCCACCTCCTTACGATAGAACCAGTGATGATATATCGC